CCCCCAGCCCCAGTAGTGTTGTTGCAGCCAAATTGCTGTCAGGGTTCACACAAGCCAGATCCGACGCAGCTCCATGAGCAGAGATAGTCAGGAACTTCTTTTTTTTTTTTTTTAAGTCCATTCTCCCTGTTGAGATCCAAACATTTCAGTGGAAGCAAAGAGCCCTTAAGTTGCTGTGAAAAAGAGGACAGGGTAAGTGTTTGAGAAATATGCGAACTATGCAGGGAGGCAGCTGGATGCTTGAGCTTTTTTAGCTCTCGCCGAATTCGTACGCATAAAACCCCTTCTGACATTCTTCTGCCATGGCACTTTAAGTTACTTCAAAAGAGGTACATTCCAACGCCTGTGTGTGCTCTGATGCACAAATCTGTTTAACCAAGCGGCCTTATGAAGCAACAGTTCACTCTGAACTCTTTCTGTTTGATTGAACAAGCAGGAGTTAATGTATTTAATCTCTATGAGACATATAAACAGATGTGCCATGAGGTRTTTTTGTTCTGAGACCAGAACCAGACCCATAAACACCCTTTGGTTGCGTCTTCTGGCTCTTCTGGCTTCTCCTAGTTTTAGGCCCTCGCTCTGCCCGTGTCACTATAGTGACGGGGGCTTGACTCTTCAGCGAGAAAAGAGGCCGCCACTGCCGCCACCGTGTGAAGTGGGGCAGAAACAATTTCTTAAATGTGCAAGAACCAAACTGGAACTTTAATCCTCTTAGCCAGGCCCTGGCTAACAAAGCTCATGCATGAGGACAGCTACTGAGTCGCATGCTACGCTAACTTACACCGGCCCGTAGGGGGGTTTGTTTGCTGTTGCACACAGCGCTAATGCGTTCTGTCCAGTAGAGTTTCGTTGCTCAGGAATAATTTGTGTTTACGTCTGAAAGCTGCGCTGCCTGCTTCCGAATGCATATATGTAATTTAAGGGTCCAGAGTTGCTTGAAGAAATGTATATTGCCCAACGTCTTTCAAGCCAGAGAGTTTTAAGATCATCTCCACATCAAACTTTAGCACAGTATGTGTAAAACTCTCTGAGAGAAGGCCATGTTCGGTAGGCTGAGGCCAATTTCCTGTGGCGGCCTTCTTCACTTGGGTTGACTCCAAAAGTTAATTAGAGAAATAGCATTTTCTGCAAAGCTGCAGTAAAAAAGCTGAGTGAATGACTTTACTAAAATGTACTGAAGAAGTTGAGTTTTTAAAGCTAAAGGAGTAGAGTACTAGTTAAAAGGATCAAAACATTAGCAAAAAACTCAAAAAACACAACTCTATTAAAAAGCTAAAAGTAGTCAGTGCTAACTAAAAGGAGCAAAGGAGCATCTAAACGAATAATAGGAATGTTAACTGTTAAAAGTAGCAAAAGTATTAGCTAGAAAATCAAAGTTGTAAAAGGTTTGCAATATTCAAAAAGTAGGAAAAGCAGATTAAGGTTGGTTAAAGGTAAAAGTAGCAAAAGGCTAGCTAGAAGCTAAAAGTAGAAAAAGCTATCTAGATGCTAAAAAATAAAAGCTAAAAGTAGGTAACACTTACTAAAAGGAGCAAATGTGCAGCTAAAAGTTTAATAAAATACTAGGAATGCTAAATGCTAAAAGTAGCAGAAGTATTAGCTAGAAGTTCAAAGTTGTAAAAGGTTAGCAAAATTCAAAAAGTAGGAAAATAAGCTTAAGGTTGGATAAAAAGTGAAATTAGCAAAAGGCTAGCTAGAAGCTAAAGGTAGCGAATAGCTGTCTCGATGCTCAAAAGTAAAAGCTAAAAGTAGAAAAAGCTATCTAGATGCTAAAAAATAAAAGCTAAAAGTAGGTAACACTAACTATAAGGAGCAAACGAGCAGCTAAAAGTTTAATAGAATAATAGGAATGCTATAAGTAGCAGAAGTATTAGCTAGAAGTTCAAAGTTGTAAAAGGTTAGCAAAATTCAAGAAGTACGAAAAGCAGCTTACGTTTGGATAAAAGGTGAAATTAACAAAAGGCTGACTAGAAGCTAAAAGTAGCAAAAAGCTATCCAGATGCTAAAAAGAGCAAAAGGCTAGCAAAAAAGTCTCTAAAAACTACCAATAACAAAAGTTTAACTAGAAACTCAAAGTACCAAAACACTAGCTAAAAGCAAAATGCTGGTTAAAAGTACCAAAAGGCTCGCTAAAGGTAGCAGAACAAGTAGCTAAGTGCTAAAAGTAGATTGTAGAAGATAAAAATGAGGCAAGTGTGCTGAACCAGTTTAAAAAAATGTTTAAAACTTTTTAAAAGATCTAAAGAATTTCAATGGGAGAAAAGTCTGAAATAAAGTAAAATATTTAAAAAAGTATAAAAGTTAGAAAAACCAGAAGTCACAGCACCCATCTACTGAATGAGCTGAACTTTCTGATATGATTGGCTAAAATAGCACCAAGTATGCTGAAGGAACTGGATTGCAAATCCAGAGCACAGAAAAATAAAAACAAAACAGGGTAACAGCTCAGTTGTACAACCAACACTTCTTTTGGTGGAAGTTTTATTATTGGTCCATGCAATATTTTGCTAACAGACAAACAGAATTAGTAAACTTCTCCAAAGGTTTAGCAAAGATGTTGCATTATTTGTTGCACTTCACGGAAACATTATCACTCCTCCTTCGGGCAATCTTCACTTCACTAGTTTTCCTTTTATCGTTACGTTACGCCTCATCTGAAATCACAGCTCCACATTACACATCTGCCCAATTGAATCCAACTCAGACGACCCATAACATTACGCCCTTATGTACTAAAATCAGAAAAAAACTGTTTTATGTCTCTGCCTGGTTTCTGTAATTCATCCGCCACACAGCTAAAGTCATCGCAGTAATTAAAACCCAAGCATATTAAGGAATCCAGATGGCCTCCCTCCCCACCATGAAAATATTGTATTTGGAGCCGAGTCATTGTTGGTACATCAGCTAAGAGCCATTATCTCCTGAGGGATTAGGCCGCCACAGATCCAGCTAATCATGGTGGGATAACAAGCTATCTGGCGTCCCCGTGCTTTCACAGAGCCGGAGCCACATTCAGGGCTCCTCGGCTAAAATTAAGCTCGCTAAATGTTTACGTTCTCAGTAGGACTGCAACACAATGTTTACTTTACGTTGTTGGACCTGTTTGTTCTTTCCAGAGAGCATCGCAAGTTTAAGTCTTAGTTTGAAGGGATAATCTTTTTACTAGTGTCTATGTGTTTGAGTAAGTCTGTTAGCAAAAATATCTCAGAAAATTGGTCAGTTTTACAAATATAGACCTTAAATTTGATGTAGTAGTAGCTGAGAGTCTGAGCACTAAAATATTTCAATATAATTACTTGGTATTCTTGGGTTTCTAAGTCTTTGATTTAATAGATGCTTATAGGTGAAAATGCACAGTTGGAACAATGAACCAGTCAAATATTTGCCGTTTTTCCATTTAAAAATCTTATTTTGGTCTTTATTTTTCAGGGTAACGCCACGTCATTGAGAGGTAGTGACCTCGGTGATCACGGTAACCCCACTGTGAGCCATGTTTCCTACTCAGACACTTCCGCTGCTTCACACACCAACGGGAAAACACCACTGGAGGAGTTCGAACATATTATTCACTCTATGGCACAGGTACAAGTTGAACTTCAGTGAATTCAATCTAATAAAAGTTTTTAATGTTCGATTTTTGGTTCCTTTAACACAAACTAATGGTAGCTGTTTAAAAACGTGCACGTGCGTGTGTTTTGGGTGACACAGGGGCGCTACGTGACGCACGTGGAGCTGCAGAAGCCATCGTCAGGAGGCCTTGGCTTCAGCGTGGTGGGGCTGAAGAGCGAGAACCGCGGGGAGCTCGGCATCTTCATTCAAGAAATCCAGCCGGGGAGCGTTGCTCACTGGTATGTTTGACACGACAGGATCAGTGAACCACAGGCACTTAAAGAATTATAGCAGTAACCGTCAACTGGTGGTTCCTGGGCCGTCTCTGACCGCCAAACTCATTAAATTGGTCCATCGAGTTTTAAATTATTAAAGGGATCTACAATTAGTTGTAACATTAAACTTTATTTGATAAACGTTTATTTTAACTTTAAAATAAAGACTAAAAATACTGTAGGATGTTCAAATTTGTAAATTTTTTAAATACATTTTAACACGGACGGAGCCATTTTATTTACACGCGAAGCATTCTGGGTAAATGATGACATCAACTAGGTCATTGGTGCGAGGCTGCTAGCGAGCTATATCCACCCTGAAGGTTAATCTTGGACAATATTTGATGATCGACTCTTAACTGAAATCAGAGAGCGTTGACAGAGGAGAAGGTAGAAATGACTCAGCCTGTAACTGAAAATATGGATGGAGGACAACAGAGCTGCTTCATGGAAGAAGAACCTCAGTTTAGCCTGTTAACGTTCGCGCTAGCGCCCACGCTATATTACCTTATATGTATTAGCTCGGCGCTAGCGCGACAAACAAGCTAAACTGAGGTCCTCCATCTATATTTTGTTACAGGCTGAGTCATTTTTGTGTTCCCCTCTCTGTCATGTGGATGGAGGACCTCAGTGACGAGAGGAGAATGTGTAGCGCTGAGCTAATATATATGGTGATAGCATCGGGGCTAATGCTAAAGCTAACAGGCTAATTTTTAAACTTTTAGTTTAAAAATTATAAAAACTGAACATCCTACAGTATTTTTACAGTCTTTATTTTAGTTAAAGTACATTTTTATATATAAAGTCTAATGTTACAACTAATCGGGGATCCCTTTAAAAAGATATGCTAAATCCAATAAAGAAATCAGATGTAGTCAAAACATTAACTTTACATTTCTGGACAACTTTCTCCCTGACTTGTCTGCTGTGTTCCTTGGTCTTCATGATGCTTGGTGATCACTAAGTTGTGAATACCATTTCACGGCAATGCAAAATGAGGTATGAAGTAAAGACGACTTTAACACTAGTTTTCTCCTTTTCTCCACAGCGACGGAAAGCTCCGAGAAGCGGACCAGATCTTAGCCATAAACGGTCAGCCGCTGGATCAGACGGTGAGCCACCAGCAAGCCATAGGCCTCCTGCAGAGCGCGTCTGAGAAGGTGCAGCTCATCGTGGCCCGAGGCCCCATCCCCCAGTTGACCAGTCCCGTGGTGTCCCGCACGCCTTCGGCTGCCAGCACGCTGTCGGCCCACTCCAGCGCGGTATAAATACCCCTCCACCTTATTGAGCTGCGGAGAAAGCTGAACTCAAGCTGTTCAGTGACATGATCTCGCCAAAGCTGAAGTAGCTATGACCCGATTAATCAAATTTAGAGTTTTAATATTTAATTTTTGTTTTTCCTCTCAGTGGCAGCACGTGGAGACGATCGAGCTGGTGAACGACGGCACTGGTCTTGGTTTCGGTATTGTTGGAGGAAAAACCACAGGAGTTATCGTTAAAACGATCCTTCCTGGAGGCATAGCTGATCAGGTGATTTCACTGACGCACGGTTTATCTGTCAGACTGCAGTTCTGGTTTGGGTTAAACAACGTTTAGCGAAACATTTGTTTTACCTCAGGATGGGCGTTTGCGAAGCGGGGATCACATCCTGAGAATTGGGGACACAGACCTGTACGGGATGGGCAGTGAACAAGTGGCCCAGGTCCTCAGGCAGTGTGGCAACAGGGTGAAGCTGGTTGTTACCAGGGGTCCTGTGGAGGAGACCCCACCATCCGCCGTCATGTCTGTGGTGCTCCCCACTGTCACCGAGCAGCAGGTAAACCGCAAATACACTTGTATCAAATTGACACATTCATAATAATTTTTGATGCTGCACACTTCAGAGAAAACGTTGAGGCATTTTATCTCTTTTTTTGGTCTTTATTTGTTCAAATAATTGGAATTGGAGAGCTTTTTGTTCTCAGATAAGACCACTTTGTACAATCAAGTCCATGACTCACAATTTAAAAGGATATTTTAAAGTGATGCGTCAACTAGGTATCGCTCTGAGCTGTCAGTCAGCTGTGTACTGCAGGTCTGGTAACGGGCAGGAGAAATATAATAATAAAAAATACATTCCTGTGTATTGGGAACAGTACAATTGAAATGTGCAGTTTTAATACTGTGACTATTGTCTTCACAGGGCGGTGAGGAAGAGGAGGCTGAAACATTCGAAGTGGCCCTAACCAAGAACACACAGGGACTGGGAATCACCATCGCTGGCTATGTCGGAGATAAAAACTCAGGTAGAACATTTTTTATGAAATTATTTCGTTGACTTACCATTAGGCCTGTCTCGATAAGCAAAAACAAACAATTATTTACACAGTAAATTAAAATGAGGTTGATCATTTTAATTTGCCTGCTTGTTTGTTTTCATCGTGTTTTTTTTTTCTTTTCGACTCCTTAGTATAGGGAAGACTGAACTCTGGCGTCAGGTATTTTTCAGGTGCATGGTCAATTCAATTAATTTCTAAAATTATTTATTGATCCCAAAGGGGAAATTACAGAATGTTGGCCTCAAATCTTTCTAGCACGAGAGCCATATGAACAGGCATTTAGCTAGAGTAGCGTCTTTGATTTTCCAACGCCTTCTTTCAGCTGGCGATGCCTCAGGACGCCAACAGGGCATCATGCCGAGGAGTTTTATTTATTTATTWTTTTACACTGTGTAAATTTCGTAAACTTTGTAAGTAACGTGCGGTTGACCACAATTATTTTTTGAAGCCAGAGGAAGCTGGAAAGAATAACGGCTTGGATAGTCTAATATGTAGCAACGTTACAGCTTTGATAGATGATGATGTGTGCTATTTTCACAAATTTCACGTAAATTTTGTAAACTTGCGTAAATTTCGTAAGTGACAYGAGAGTGACTGTGCTCTGTGCTGGCTTGGATAGAAGAGCTTCAGTATCTGTTGTGTGTTGTTTTTCCCAATCTCCAGTGCAGGTCAGTGTGTAACTTTTCTGTACATACCCAACGATACCCAACACAAATAGGGAAAGAGAGACAAAAACAAGGGGACGTTGAGCCCCGCTTGCACTCACTACGTACACATAACAAAACATCAAATAACAACAGCCAAAATATCCAAACCAATAAGTCAGGTGATGGGGCACATGACCCTCTATGAACAATAGAGCTAATCAAGCCTATTGTTAGGCGATGGCCCTCTTTTGCATGTGACWAACCTGTTTGTCCACCATGTGGAGGCAGTGCTTATAAGGCTGAGTTCACCTGAAACTCATCAGACTGAAGAAGTGTCTTGGAGGAGAGACGAAACGTTTCTCTAAATAAGAACCCATCCAGAGGACCTACTTTTTTTTTCCGGTTTGGATTTTCCGTACATAAATTTCATAAACATCCGAAAGCGAGGGGCAATCATTGCATTACTTTAAAATGGTCTCCAAACAATATTGTTTATCACAATAATTTTGGAGACAGTATTAGTAAAACATGCAATTGAGATATTACCGAAGGTTTGTTTTCTTCACTATGCTTACGACACTTGATTGCTATCATTTCAATGTGCCACACCATACATATATATCACTTTAACTATGTTTTTTTTTGTCGTTTTGCATTCTAAGCCGTTCTTTGTAAAAGTGAAAATGGCAAAGTATTCCGTAAGATATTGTGCAAGCCCATTTATTATCATCATTGTATCACAGAAGTACACACGTGATATCTTTATATAAATCATAAAATTACAAAAGACTGCTTTTCAAAGTTATAAACCGTGATTGAAGTGGATTTCTGTGCCAGTCGGCACACTCAAAACAGTCTTCCAGAGACGCTGTGGCTTCATCTGTCTACAGATTAACAGTTTTTAATGATGGTTTGATCCTCTTCATCAGCTGGGAAAAGGTTGGCAGGAAAACTAGCGAGCGTGATCCGATAGACCGAATGAGGGATGGCTGAGTGTGTGCCAGAAATGTTCTCATAAACATCGTCGGCGGTGTTTCTTTCTCTGGGAGGGATTTGAACGTGCTGATGGAAGTCGGCATCATCTTGATTAAAATCGCTGGCAACAATGAAAAAATACAAATGAGCTGTTTTTCATGTGACTGCTAATGATCTTACACAGCTCCAAAAGTTTAGTTTTTAATTTCCATCTGGGGAAATGGAAATGGGAGTAACTAACAGACTGGTGAACTCTCTTGGCTAAAACAAAATATGCTTTTATTTTTTTTTACCTTAAGCAATAAGATAATCAGATCTGCTTTAAAAAGAAAAAAGTCATTATGAAAACAAAAAATGTTAAAAGTTTAAACGTTATAAAGTAAGATTTATTTGCTGCATTTGTTTGTCCCAACGGTAAAAGCACAAATTACAATCTGAAATAGGCCCAGACCATTACACTAACACCACCAGATTTACTGTTAACTTTTTGTTTTGTTTATATTTGTTTTGTTATATCTTTGTTTCTATATTTTTGTATTGCTCTTTTTTAATATTTAGGTTTYCCTATTGGAAGTGCCCCTAGACTGCACAAGAAGTGCTACTGTACATCCAGCTCCTGATTTTTAGATTTGCAAACAACCATGTTAATGTATAATTGATGGCGGAGTAAAAGTTTCTACAACATTTGATTTGGTTTGATTTGATTTGATGATGCCTTTATGGTCATTGTACGGAGCACAAGGAAATTACATTTAAGAACACCCATTCATTCACCCATTTGTATCAACTTAATGTTTCAAAATGCTGGTGGTTGTACTATCATGTGATGGGCCAACAACATGGGCTGGTAGTAGTACTATGGTGGTATGGGCTTGGGCAGTGGTAGTAACATAGAATGGGCCGGTGGTATGGGCTGGTGTTGGTACTATCATGGTATGGACCAACAGTATGGACTGGTAGTATACGGGTCAGTAGTATGGACTGGTAATAGTACTATCATGGTATGGGTCAGAGGTATGGACTGGTAGTAGTACTATCATGGTAAGGGCCAGAGGTCTGGGTTGGTGGTAGCACCATCATTGCATGGGCCAGCAGTATGGACTTGTAGTAGCACCATCAGGATATGGGCCAGCAGTATGGACTTGTAGAGATACTATCAGGGTATGGGCCAGCAGTATGGACTTGTAGTAGCACCATCAGGATATGGGCCAGCAGTATGGACTTGTAGTAGTACAATCAGGGTATGGGCCAGCAGTATGGACTTGTAGTAGTACAATCAGGGTATGGGCCAGCAGTATCAACTTGTAGTAGTACAATCAGGGTATGGGCCAGCAGTATGGACTTGTAGTTTGTACAATCAGGGTATGGGCCAGCAGTATGGACTTGTAGTAGTACAATCAGGGTATGGGCCAGCAATATGGACTTTTAGAGGTACTATCAGGGTATGGGCCAGCAGTATGGACTTGTAGAGGTACTATCAGGGTATGGAACAGAGGTATAGGTTGGTAATAGTACTATCATGGTGTGGGCCAGCGACATGGATTGGAAGTAGTACAATCATGGTATGAGCTTGCGGTAGTACCATCTTACAAAAATGTTTTTGCGCATCTTTCCACTTCTGAATAGTATCAGGCTGGCTAGTATCAGGGGTTAATATTTTATATCTTCCATTAAGATTCAGATGTTTAACATTGTGAAATGTGAACTCTGCCCTTTAATTTTACAACTTGTTCTGACTCTTCAGAGCCTTCAGGGATCTTTGTTAAAAGCATAACAAAGGACAGCGCGGTAGATCAAGACGGCCGTATTCATGTTGGAGACCAGATAATTGCTGTAAGTTCATGACTTCATTAAGTTGTATGCTCCATTTGGATTTCATAATTACCTGACTGAAACAAGTTTTTATTGTGACCATGAAAATAATAGTGCTCAATTAGCATATTGAGAAAATATGTTTTTAATTTTAATAGTAAAACACGATACCAATGTATTAGTTTTAATTATTTAAATTTATCACCTACCTTAGCAGATCTGATTAAGTAAGTAGGGGAATACGTGTGCGCAGCATTATGTTTTCTGTATGTTCTCTGGTGGTTACAAACACTTCAACTAATGCGAATCGAATTTCAATTAAGAACATATTTCACGTTTCAGTGCTCTTTTTAAACGTCTGATATACGAGCTCGTAAATGATCCTCCTCTGCAGGTGGACGGCGTAAACATCCAGGGATACACCAATCAACAGGCAGTGGAAGTGCTCAGACACACCGGCCAGACGGTCCAACTTAAGCTGATCCGACGGGACTTTGGGCCTGACGAAGTCCCCCCTGTCGCACACCCCACTGTCTCCGTCTTGTCCCCTTCTGCCACCATCCCCGCCACCGCCACCGTCATGAAGGAGATGGAGCTGGAGAAGAAGGCAGATGAGCTGGTTCAAGGTAGGATTTAATAAGAAAACTTTATTTTATTTTTTTGCAACTAATCATCAGTTGAAAAAGGTAGATTTTCGTATGAAAATAAGGCTCCAAATAGAATTTAAATTGGGTTCATGTAGTTTTTGGGCATTCGATTTTCATTTTAAAAACAAATATTGAAAAACAGTGCTAAACTTGCAGTTAGAGAAAAAAAAAAGTTTTTTTTTTTTTCAAATTTGGAGTATAAATTGAAAATATAATAAGCATCCGTTTCTGGTTTTTCCGATATCTGCTATTAAAATGAAAAACAAATTACCAAAAAGTACATGGACCAAATGGGGTGGACATTTATTTATTTATTCATTTATTTATTTTTGAATGGACCACAGCTAAGGCAGCYACTTTACATTAGCATGGGACATATTTAGTGTGGGTGTTTTATTACTAAACGAGGACCAAAAGTTCCTCATTAAAACAAGTGAAATGAATAAATTTCAAAATAAAATAAAGTAAAAATAAAGTTAGCATTTTGTTGATACCTGTAAGATGAATCACAAAAGCTAAACATTGAGCGCTGAAGTTGCCGAAAAGAAACACGATTTTTTTCCATTAAGTTGCTCAATTTTACAGCTTTTCAACAAACAAGCTTAAGTTTTTTTTTTCCACAGTGCCAGATGACACTTAAATAAGTGACAGTTTTTAAGAGATAGTCTGGTAATGAAAGAGTGCCAGATTCAGTTAAAGACAAAACAATAGATAAGTCCTCCCTAAACTGTGGAAGGAATTTTTGCTCTGAAAGGCCTCTTATTAAAAAAAAAAGAATAAATAAAAAAGTTTATATAATGAGAAATTTTAGGCACCATGTTCCATTTAAACTGACTAAAAAGGACATGTATAAAAGCACAGAGCTGAGTAAAGAAGCCTGCTCTTGTGTTGCTCAGTTTTTTTTAACCAGAAAATCGGCAGCAGACTTTCGTATAAATGTCATGTTTGTTTTAATAGCGCTTTCTAATATTGGCAATAAAAATGATAAAGACTGACAGTAAACTGAAGCATTTCTGTCTCCAGCTGTTCCCTTAGAACCTCCGGGCTTTTTACGAAGCAAGAAACGCTACTTGGATACTTTACTTAGTGTCAGCCGTGATAGATGGATATGTGAAGTGATTAGATTTGGCAACAGGAAATTGTAGCCCAAAAACCTGCATAAAGACACCAAACAGATGGTAGAAACTTAGAGAGCCATTTCTTTTTTTTGGTTTGTTTTTGTTCTTGAGTGCTATAAACTGTCTGAGAGAAAAAAACAATTATAAAGTTTGGACTTGTTTTTGTGGTATCATTTATTAAAGAAAGCAGACACAAACATACTTTATCAGACTTTCAGTGGATGCCTCTCTGGAGCTCCTTTAATTTAAAGCCAGGAAATGAAGTCAGAATTCCTTTGAGTAATAGAAATTAAGGGAAAAATCCCAGACTGTCTTGTATTAAGAGCATTTGTCTTTCAAAGCCAGGTCATAAAGTTGGATGAGCAGTGGTCATTAAATAAGAAAACTTTTACAAAAAATATACTATAAATTCTCTCCTTTACAGCTATTGGTTAACCTTTTTTCTTAATACAAAATACCTGTTTTATATTTTGCATGTAAAAGGTACTTACGCACGGTGCATGAGGGGTAATTAGATGGGAAACTTGAAGAGATAAAATTCTTAAATTGACAATTTTTCTCTGGTGGATGATAGGAAATGTATTTGTATAATTTTGGCATCATTGTAAAGCTTAGGCTTTCTCCTTTTTCAATAAAGAGCTGGAATCCCCCCCAATAAATAAATAAACAAACAAACAAACAAACAAACAAACAAACAAACAAACAAACAAACAAACAAATATTTAAGCTCTCATTAACAAATGTAGCTTTTTGCTATCCAGGTGATAAATCAACAAATTTCAAGAAACTGTTTCATTGTGATTATTTTGTTATGGAGAATTGGAAAATAATAATAATGATGACTCAGTAATGGAAAAATTCCTCATTGTGACTCATTTTGTCAGCACAGGTCACATGTGTCATTAAACTCTATTAATCACAGGCTGCTGACCAACAATTAGCATAAATGCTAAGTTAACATTGAAAACAGCATAGAAATGCTAATGTGATTAGCAGTTATACACAAACTAAAGGATTTAAAATCAAAACTAAATAAGGGAAACTATGCAAAATAGACTTTTTTTGAGCTTTATATCATGTTATAACATCATTCCCTCATCATAAACATACCCAGTGCTGCTTTGACTCATTCATGTCTGTTTGAGAAATCCTTAAATCTCCTGTGGTAGCAATTTGGAGCTACTGTACCTAAATGCTTGTTGGTACAAAGCACCGCCTATTTACACAAAGCTCCTCCCTGGAGCTTAATCTGCAACTGATTTCCTGCCCCCGATTGTGGCCCTCCCTCAAAGCATTGTTGCGAAGATGTGCTGAAGTGGGAGTGTCAGAAACAGTAGGCATTTAGATAGACTATGATGCGAAGTCAAATTTACTTTTATATATACTGTATATATA